GGGGGGGGCGCGGGGGGCTCGGAGCACCGTCCAGGAGGGGGGAGGGGATCAGGTCCCCCTTTGAGCCCCAGGTTGGCCAAACCCGGTTGGGAAAGGAGCTGCTGCTGGTGGGCTGGCGCTAAAAACCCGGGGGGGGGGGGGGTGTCTTTGGAGCTGCTCCCACCGACGGCCCTCCCCCTCCTCTTCCTCCTCCCTGGCTGCAGATCTGGGACAACGACCTCCCGGTCTCCCTGCTGCACAGCGCCAGCATGAAGAAGTACAACTGGAGCTACACGCAGTTCTCCCAGTTCAACGCGGACGATTCTCTCCTCCTGGTCTCCGGGGTCTTCATGGGGCCCCGAAGCTCCTCCTCGGGGGAGATTGCCGTCATCGGCCTGGGTAAGGAGGGGGGGGAGAGCGAGCCCCTAGAGTCTAGGGGTCTCCAACCTCGGCCACTTGAAGCCGGGCGGATTTCAACTCAAGAGAATTCCCCAGCCAGCTTACAGTTTACGGCTTACAACCGGCATACAAACCAACAAAGCTGGCTGGGGAATTCTGGGAGTTGAAGTCCACCAGGCTTAAAAGTTGCCAAGGTTGGAGACCCCCCTGCCTTAGAAGGACTCTCTCTCCCTGGAGGAGCCGGCCAGCCTGGATGGGGTAAACACGGGGGGACAGGGGATCCTGGGCAGTGGGAGGCAGGAGAGGAGGCTCCCCTCCCTCCAGATCCTCTTCCGCTGGCTCAAGACAATTCGCACCCGTCACCGCCAGCCTGTCCTCCTTTTAGAGAACTTCGAACTCCTGTCCCGAGTCCGCAACAAGCCCTGCGACGCGTTTGGCTGCTGGCTGAACGAGACCAACTTGATTTCCAGCAACCTGCACCGTATCGGGTATCTCACCTCCTGCTCCGTGTTATGGCTGAACAACGCCTTCCAGGTGAAGCGAGGCCGGGGTGACTCTGGGGGGGTGTGGGGATGAGGGGAGGGAGCCCTGGCCCCCCGCCGCCTGACTCGGCTTGCCCTCCGCTTGCAGGGCGTCGAGTCCGAGAACGTCAACGTGGTGAAACGGCTCTTCAAAATCCAGAACCTGAATGCCAGCACCATCCGGACCGTCATGGTGGTGGATTGCAGCCGCTACAGCTCCGCCGGTGAGCCGGACAGCCCCGGAGAGCAGGTGGGGGAGGGCCCCGCTCCTCCCCACAAGGAGACCCACAGCCAGGCGGAGGAGAGGAAGGGTTTCCCGGCGGCCGAAGGGGAGGCAGGGACTGAAGATGGGCTGGACCGCTTCCTGAGTGACATCATGGAGGGACGTGTCCGGCCAATGATGACGGAGATGGAGATGGAGACGAAAGTAGCCCGGCTCCTGGCCAGGAACCGAACGAAGCCCCCGGAGCCCAACCTGCTCTCCCTGCAGGGCGGAAACAAGAAATACCTGGTCTTCACCACCGGCTGCCTCACCTACTCACCGCACCAGATTGGTAAGTGACCTGGGCGCCTTTTTGCGGGGTGGAACAAACGGCCGCTGAGGGGCCCTCTCCCCTTGGGGATTGTCAACCAGAGCCACGGGACGAGCAATAGGAAGAGCCCTGCTGGAATATCTGGCTGCCTCCCCTTGGAGGTCCCATGCCTGGCTAGGTCGCCCGGCCGGAGGCGGTTGGTGCCACATCCTGTGAGACGCAGGAAGTGAGCTAGCAAGTTGCCCTCCTGGCTTCCCCTCTAGGAATTAAGCAGATCCTGCCCCACCAAATGACCACCGTGGGCCCCGTTCTGGGGGAAGAGAGGAATTCGGACAGGTTTTTCGATTCGCTGGATCATGTCATTGACATTCACGGGCATATCGTTGGCATGGGCCTCTCCCCAGACCACAGGTAGGGAGTGCTGCCAGCGACGTTGAGAAGTTGGGCACGGGTTGGCGGCCAGGTGGCACGATGCCTCTGCTCCGTGGGGAAAGCTTTTGGGGGGAGGTAGGGACTGGAGAAGGGCTATCCGGGCGTCTGGCCAAGCAGGAGCCTTCTGTCGCCCAGCTCTCGCCCTCCACAAGGCCAGCGGGGCTTGTAGGCCCTCCTTTCTCTCTCTCTCTTTCCCTGCCCTCCAGGTACTTGTATGTCAACAGCCGTGCTTGGCCCGAGGGCTGCGTCGTTTCCGACCCTATGCAGCCCCCGCCCATCGCAGAGGAGATTGAGTTGCGTGTGCTGGACCTCAAAACCATGAAGGAGGCCAAGCGAGCCCTGCGGGCACACCGGGCCTACACCCCCAGCGAAGAGTTCAACTTCATTTTCCTGGATGTCAGCAGGGACTTTGTGGCCAGGTGAGTCAGTCTCTGCCCCGCCCAGCGGAGGCTCCTTCAGCAAGGGAGTGGGTGGCTTCCGGATCCCATGGTGCCTTTCGAGGCGTTTTGCAGTTGGGGTGCAGTGAACTTCCAAGAGCTTCGCTTCCAGCTTTGTTCTGTGGTCCCCCCAACGTCTCCTCCTCCTCCTCCTGTGCAGTGGGGCTGAGGATCGCCACGGATACATCTGGGACCGCCACTACGACATCTGCTTGGCCAAATTGCAGCATGACGACGTGGTCAACTCGGTGGCTTTCAGCCCCGCGGAACAGGAGCTCCTCCTGACAGCCTGCGGGGACAGCACCATCAAAGTGTGGCGCTCTCCCCGCACCGCACGGCTCCTTCACGGCGAGAAGCCCTGGCTTCGTAGGCACCTCTTCTCCTGCGACACGAAGCAGGGGACGTGAGCCGGGGCAGGGCTGGCTTCCTTGGGCCAGGGAGGGTCCATTCCCCTGCAAGCGACCCTGGCCCAGTTCGCTCACCTTCACGGATGCCCTGCTTGGGGGGGAAGGCCCGGATGAATCGCCATTCGAGGAACGGAGGCGCAGGTGCGGCGGCTCAATGCCCTTTTGGAGGCGGCTTGCGGGCTGGCGTGGTTCTGTAGGGTGCCGCCACCCTCCGACGTGGCTCTCTGGGCTTTGAAGAGCCACGGATGGAGCCAGGAAAACCTGCGCTGGCCCTGGCGAATTTCTGCTCGGCAGGGAGGTAAGAGGAAGGGAGCTGGGCACCGCGCTGGATTCCCTTCAGTGCCTCTGCTCTTGTTGACCCCAGGTGGCAAGGACCCTCCCTCAAAGGTTTTGGAGCTGCAGCCCGCCAGCTCCTGGGAAGGAGCACGGATCCGTCCCTGGCTTGGGGGAGTCGTCCCTTGCAAAACATTCGCTTTGGAGGAGGGGTGGGGAAGGGAAGGTGTGGCGTTACTCCTTTTGCGAGGCGGAAAGAAGCTTGTTTGTGTGTGCACTTTTGAGGAGGGGTGGGGCAGCTCCCGCGCCCTACCAAGGGGCTCCAGTTGGCTACCCAGCGCAGCACGGCTTGTTGGTCTTAATAAACTTGGCTTGAGTTGTTACTCTCGCGCTGAGCATCTTTGGCCTCCGCGAGTGCCCCCTTTTGCGCCCAACCCCCTGGCAAAGAGAGGCCCTCTTCGGTGGCAGATGGGTAGGGAACCCTGGCCTCCGAGAAGGCCCCTGGGAGGGGGGCGGGGGGGGTTGCTCTCTGGTGGGGCCAGCGCCCTCTCTCCCCAAAGATGAGCAAAACGGGGGGGGCTCGCCTCTATAATGCTTTATTCGGCTTTCTCGCTTTTCCAGGGAAGAGCGTTTCAGCAGGACGGTCCGAAGTTGCTCTATGATTGCCCGAAAGCTCCTGGGAGATCTTGCTCCTACTCAGAGGAGCGCCCCTCCCCACCAGTGGAGAAGGGGGAGGGGGGGCAATTGGCCAGGGCTCCTCCGTTGGGACCACCAGAGGAAGGCTCCCCTCTGCCCGTGGAGCTCTTCTCACCCTTTCTCAGCTTTCCTGGCAGCTGCCCAGGCCTCTGTGCCCTGGGAACGGGTAGCGCGGATCGCTTGGCGGTAGACACGGGCTGGTCAGGAGCAGTTCCCCTCCAGGGGCTCTGCCAGGCCGCCCCAAACAGTTGCTGGACCTTGAGTGCCCAGCCTCTCTAGCCTAGGCAGCGGCCACCCCAGTCCAAGGCAGCAGAGGAGCCCCAGGGCCTGCTTGGAACCAGGAAAGGCCTCTCCTTCAGGGCCCAGCTGGGCTTCCAAGACGCCTCTCCAAGGGTAGGGGGGCTGTCCAAGGCTGAAAGAAGGTCCGCCAGGCCCTCGTTGCCCAGGGGGCCGTCCAGATCCCCCCCTTCTTCCCCCCCACAGGGACAGCCCCGTGCTCCAAGACCCCAGTGGGCAAGGCGTTAAAGGCCCGTGAGGTCTACAATGGCTTTAATAAAGATGGTGTCTTCCTGCACGTAGGAATTCTTGGACTCCATCTTAGCGATGGGGCAGAAGAGGGGGCAGCCACTGGCAATGTTCATGTCGCTGATGGGCCGCTGGAAGGAGGAGGAGGCCACGTCGGGCCGGAAGGCATCAATGATGTGCTCACGGTTATTCTGGTCCAGCAGCATCAGGGTAACCTACGGGGGGAACGACAGGAACCTCACGGTAGCCTCCCTCAACTCTGGGTCCCCTGTGGCCTCTGTCCTTGCAAACAAACCCCCAGAGGGTGCCATGGGGTTTGAGGCAGGAAAGGCTGCTCTGGGGCTCCAGAAGCCAAAGGCCTGCCCAGCAGCCTCTTCTCCCCCCCCCGCCCCCGCTCCCCCTCGTGGCCCACAGGGTCCCCTACCTTCTGGTTGAAAGGCCATCGCAACAGGGAGTCGTTGGGTCCTTTCATCACCACGAAGAAGAGAGACAGGTGGGTGCCCCGCCCGGTGCCGTCCCCGTTGAGGTAGATCCGCAGGCACATCTTGTAGCCGTACTTGTTGGTGTAGAAGGCTGGCCGAGCAGAGCAGAGAGAGAGAGAGACAGCTGGGAGGGAGCTCTGCAGGACACCGGCGGTTCCCTTCCGCCCCGTCCCCTCTGGGCTGCAGCCCCTCCTCCCAGGCCCACCCCAAGACCAGAGCCCAGGTCTTCTTACCTGGGGAGAAGATGGCCGGAGAGCGCCCCGCCACCGCCTCCTGCCGCTTCCGGGCAAAGTCAGAAATCTTCCAGATGAAGATGCCGTCGTAGGAGGCCGCCTCCATCTCCTGGATGGCGTGTTCCATCTCGGCCAAGGCCAGGTCCTTCAAGGCGATGCTCCTCTCCAGCTGCCGCACCTGGGCCAGGAAGGAAACTCCGATGCCTCCGAGAGCATGCAAAGCCCTGCAGCTGAACCCAAGCCATGGTCGTTCCCCACCCCTCTTCCAGGCCACGCAAAGCGGCCCCTTCTGCTTCCCGCCAGGCCGGGAAGAAGACAGCAAGCCCCGCTCCGAATGGCCCCCGGGGAGCCACCAACCCCATCCCACCTTAGCGCCGAGGGCCTCGATCTTCTCCTGGTCGAGCTGATGCTGCCGGCTGGCGGCTTCGGCCACGAGCGACACCTTCTCCACCTCCCGGTTCAGCACGCAGACGATGTTCTCAAACGTGACGGTCTTCCTCTCCAGGGCCTCGCATTTCCCCAGCAGCTCTAAGGAGCTGGGCAGCTCCGGCTCGGGGACCAAGGGCCTGCCCCCCGCCAGGACGCAGCCGGCCTCCGCCGAGAGCCGGTCCAGCAGGGGCTCCAGTTTGCTGGACGCGGAGCCCAAGCTCAGCACGAAGCTCAGCAGCATGTAGAGGTGCTCGCCCAGGTGGCTCCTCTCATGCTCGGGGAGCTGCTCGTTCTCCATCTGTGGAGGAGCAGGGGCAGTCAGGGGCCACCAAGGCTTTTTGGTCTCGGGGGCTTGGCTGATGGGGGGGCCGCCCGGGGCTGGGCCAGCACACAGCGACGGGATGCTGCCCAGGCGGCTGAACGGGCTGCTCCAGTGCCCACCCTTCCCCTTCCCTGTTTTGAAACCCAGAGCAGCAGTACCAAGTGGGTGCAGCCGACCGGCTGGAATCTGCAGGGGGCTTTGCATTTGCTGCAGGTCTTGACGTGGTCCAGGAACTGCGAAAAAGGGGAAGGGCGGCTTCAAAAGGAGCGGGAGGCTCATCCCCTCACCCACCGCAATGGGGCATTTCTGCCCCATTGGCTGGGGCAACAGGTGGCGAGGCGAGGCGGGTGCCGTGGGGCCCGCGTTGAACGCGCCAGGAGTGGCACCCCCTTTCCTCCAGGACCTGACCCAGGCAGCCTCCTCGTGTCCTCTGCTGGCGGAGGGGTGGCGGTGTTTTGGGTAGCACGCCGCCCCGCCCTGTCATGGGGAGGCAGGTAGAAAGGTGGGTGGCCCCAGGGGTGTTTCCGGGGCAGTCTGCAGAAGAAACGGGGTGCTAAAACCAAGGGCCAGGAGCCCTGCTAACCTTCTCCCGGGGGATCTTCTTCTTTCCGCACCCCTCACAGGCCAGAGGGAGCTTGGGGCACATCGCCTCGTGGGCCTGGCAAGACAAAAAACAGCAGCAGGTTAACCCACCGTCTGCCCCACCTCTCCTCTTGAGGACGCTGCCGGCCTTCCACCGCTAGGCTGCCCGGAAGGCAGAGCTCTACGCTTCCTGGGAAGCAGGGCACACCTGAGCAGTCGAGACCAAGGCCGCACCTTTTGGCCTTTGAACTGGGACGCTTTTGAGGGCTGTTGCTGCAGTAATTCAGCTGGCTTTTCCTAGGGGGGGGGGTCCTCGGCTTTGGGGTGGGAAGCGGGGCAGCTCTGGCCCGTACCTTGCTTTCGGAGAAGTGGAAAAGGGCTTGGCAGTATTTGCAGTTGAGGCTCCTCTCGGGACACTCCTGCTCGGCGTGCCGCTCCTTCTCGCCCAGCCTGACCAGGCTGTGGCACGCAGGACAGGCCACCAGCATGGCCGGGCAGCTCCCCTCGTGGCAGCTCTGCAGCAAAAGGACGGGCATTTCGGCACTCGAAGGCTGTGCTGGGGGGGGGGGGGGGGGGGGGGTCCCAAACGCCCCATTGCACTGATTCGCTCTGCACCCAAAATCAACACACTGGGAGGCTGGCCAGGGGCGAGGCCTGCCGTTCAGGTAGGAACCCTGCAGATCTGGGGGAGACTGAAGCACGCAAGCTACTGTGGCAAAGAGGCAGGTGTCCCTCTGCGTATTCCGGCTGAGCCTTCCAAAGAGCAGGGCCCCAACGGAGGGGAGTTGGAGAGGGTGGGCTGCTTGGTTGGGGCGTTCCAGCTTCAGAACTCTCCCGGAAGCCAACTTGCACTCTAACTAGGCCTGGAAGCCCAACAGGAAAAGCTCCTCTCCGCGCCGGCTCTTAGGGTGGCCCTTCACAGAGAGGCAACTGCCTGCAGCCCAGCCAGAAAGCAGCACATCTGGAAGCTGAGATGCAACTGGGGCACCTCTGTTGTGGCTACTGGGACGCCTCGCTGGTCTTTTCCCAAGGGTTGAAAAGTAGCAGGGAAGCACTTTCGCTTTCCAGGGCCGAGCCTCACCCCCCCCACCCCCGCCCAAAGAGAAAGTAAAAGCAGCGGCAGGAGGCAGCCGGCTGGTGGTCTAAGGGGAGGAGGCGGCTCCTCTTGGCTGGTGTCGGATGACAGGGAGGAGAAGCTGCCCCAGGACCCGAGACCAGACGCAGAGCAGAGGCGCTGCCAGCAGGCCCCCGTCCTCTGGGGCTGAGTAAGGAGCCAGTATTTTAGGGACTTTCCACTCTGCAGGCTTCCGCCAGGGACTTTCCAGGCTGGAAGCTCTGACATTCAAAGCATGCAGCTCAGCTGCAGACGCAGCACGACTGGCGCCTGGCTGAGGTTCAGCCTCCAGTTCCCCATGGGAAAGAGGAGAGGGGCTGGGGAAGACTTTGCCCATCCCCAGGAGGTCACGTGGTCCATGGGGGGGGGGGGGGGGGCGGGGGGGCCTCCGCCGGGCGGGGGGGGGGGGGGCGGGGGGGGGGGGGGGAATGCAAGGGGGCCTCTTCAGGGAGGGGAGGTGGGCTTCAATCTTTGGCCACAGAATTCACCCCAGGCCCTTCCATCTCCCCCTACGGAGAGAAGATGGCACATGCTCCTTAGACCCAGGGCTGCCTGCCCTCCCTGCGGACTCGAACTGAGCACTGGAGGGGGAGGGATGGCCCTGGACATGTGGAGGGGGGGGGAAAAGCCCCTGCTTTGGGGGAGGACGAGCAGCAAACCCCAAAGTCGCATGGAAGGCGTCCTCTGACTCCCCCAAACAGCACCGGCCACACAAGAGACGCCTCGGGGGATGGTGCCCCATAGGCCCAGTTTGGTGCCACTGCCCCACATGGAGCTCTGGCAAAAGCCCCCCACCCTCCAGACAGGGAAAGGCCAATCCCGGCCCTTTCCCATCAAGCTCCTTGCCCAGACAGGAAGGGCGACTCAAGGCTCCCTTTTCTGGGATCTTTACCTCATATTCTTTTATGGTGCCTTTCCACGAGCAACCTTGGTGGGGACAGATGGCTGGGAGGCTCTCCACTTCCCGCCGAGCTGCGTTGTCTGGGAAAGCCTCGAGGGGCCAGAAAGGGAAGGATGAAATAAGCACAGAGACCCGGCCAGTCAACTCCACACCGGCAGCTTGGCCAAGGGAGAACACGGGGTGGCTGCTGATTCTGGCACAATCCGTGGCCAAACCGGCAAGCCACCCCCAATGGAAAGGGTTGCTGGGAGAGAGCAAGGCAGAGGTATTCCCCCGACCGACTGACCGGCTGGCTGGGCAGAAACCTTCCCTGATTGGGATGGAGAAAGCACCAGCCCCTCTTCATGTCTGTCCCAGTTACTGGGAGGTTGTGACCGCAGCCCCTTGGAATGTAAAGAATTTGCACCGAGGAGCCTCCGAGGGAAGCTTTCGGAAGAGAGACGGAGGGGGAGAGCCCCTTTGCCTTCTCTTCAAGGCCCCTCCATCTGACCCAGCCGAGCTAGTCCAACCCTCTGGACGGCAGGACAAAACTCCGCTCGAGGGAGCTGTACTTACCACCCCCGTTTCCAAGATGGAGGCGCCCTCATCGTACAACCCCTCTTGAAGGCAGGCTGCACACTTCTGGGGCCCTGAGCTGGTGGGGAAGAGGAAGACCATGAGAACAACCCAGAGAGCCTCCCGAGTCAACTCCCAAGCCTTTCCCCCGGCAAGACAAGCCACCACTCCGTGTCTCTCTGAGCATATGCAGTTAGCTTTGTTTGGCTCCTGCCGATTGCAGAGCTGTTGGCCACCTACACAAGGGAGGATTGTTTCCCGGTCGGAGGTGTTTAGAGACCGGAAGCATCGCCCTTCCTTTTCAGTCATGCCACCCTGACTGCTTCTGAGGTGTGCAGCTGATGCCCTCCCTATTCCAACTCTAGAAGCAACAGGAATAACACCCAAACTGGCAGGTGTCAGATTGCCTATCCTAGGTATATAATTAAGCAGCTGCTTAATTTGTTGCAAAGGGCGATTTACTTGCTTACTTGCAGAGGGACGGAGGTGGAGAGTTAATGCAAAAGGTGTAGCAGTTTCTTTCTGGGGGTGGGGGTGTGTGAGAATTTGGTTTGGAACTAAGTGGGCGAAACTGCATGTGGGGGGCGATCCTAAGAGATCTTTCCCACCTGGAAAACATCAAGAGCCAAAGCTGGAAGGGCCTGCCGGCTGGGCCATCGAGCCATGGGAGGGATCCGTTCCCCTCAGGCCCTTGGCAAGGCGTAAGGAGTTTGGGGAGAGGGTGATCTTTGCAGACCTCAGGGGGGGAAGAGTGTTTGAAACCCCGCACGCCTTCTCCAATCTGCAAAGGAGGCGTGAGTGGGAGGTTCAAGCAAAGCAAGCCAAGGACACCTTAGAATTTTCTTCAAGCAATAGGAGCAGTAACGATGACCGCACTGGGCTTGAAACGGACGCCGCAAAATGTTCCGGCACTCTGAACACAGGTACTTGCCCACCAGTTCAGTGCCCAGAATCTCCTTGGGGAAGCCCGGCTGGTTCACGTCCAAAGAGCCAGGAGGGGTTGCGTTGGCCGATGCCATGTGAACCAGCCTGCTTTGCGTGGCCTTCACAACCCTGGGGAGGAAGAAGAAGGCCACAGTTCAGCTCCCTCTCCATAGCGGGGAACACCGAATGACCCTCCACCCGCCTGCTGCTGCTGCTGCTGCCAACTGGGCCCCCCCCCCCCCCCCCCCGCCGCCCCCCCCCCCCACCGGGGCCCCCCCCCCCCGGCTGAAGCAGCTCAGCCGCCTGCTAGGCTGGCAACCCTGGTCCACAACGGCTGGTGAGCAGAACCCCCCAGGCTGGGCAGAGAGAGAGGTTCAAGCCTGGCCCAGCCCCACTGGCAGCTGGGCTAAGGAAGGGCATCACCCCCCCCCACCAGGACCCTCACTCAAAAGAGCCTCCTCTCCTTGCCGGCCATCGAAGAGGTTCATTCATTGAACCACCCCAATCCTGGACCTTCCGGGCATCACCGCCTCCCTTCCTGCCCGGGAAGGGAAGGGCGGCCCGGGAGAGCGGAGCTTCGGGGAGAGCCAGCCAGCCTCCCCACCTACCTACAGCCGGAGTCCGGCTCGCCTCCTGACCGGGGACCACCCGGCGCCTTTCACCGCCCCCGGAGGAGCCGCAGCCAGGGGGCCCGTCGGGGAAGCGTCCGGCTGGGCGGAGGGGCTCCCCGGCCTCTCGGTCCCCGCCGACGCCGACGCCGCCCCGGATCCGCAGCGGCCACCGCGACATCGCCCCGAACAAGGGCTCTTCACCCCCCCCTCCGCCCCTTCGCGGCTCCTTCGGCCGGGGGAGGAGCTCCTGCCTCGGGCGTCACGGCTCTGGAAAGCCCCTGGAAGCCTCCGCGGGCGGGAGCCACGTGCCGCCCCGCGGGGCCCTCCGAGCCGGGCGCTGCGGCGGCGGCGCCGGGGAGGCCAGCTGGGGAGGGGAAAGCCCGCCGGCCCCCCCCCCCCCCCCCGGGCCGGGGCGCCCGGGGACCCCCCCCCCCCCCCGCGGAGAGGCCCGCTCTACGACCGCGGCCGTCGCCCCCCCTCCCCCACTCACCCGCAGCCGCGTCCGGCCACCCAAACGCCGACCGGAAGTTCCCCTAAGCTCCACCCAGCGCTTCCGCCCTTTGCCTTATCTCGGGCATCGCCGCTTCCGAAGCCCCGCCCTCCCTGGCCCCGCCCCTCCGTTGCTATTGGCGCCGGGGCGTGGCTTCGGGTGACGTTGTCCGGAGCGCGGGAAGGCTGCTCCCTGAGGTAACTCCGCGGCGGCGGCACTGCTGTCAGCGATCGAAGCGCCTCCATGTCGCCTCGGTTCCCAGAGGGGAGCGGCCCTTTTCCGACCGGAGGAAGCTTCGCTGTTCGCGACGGTCAAGCCGCAAGTTCATCCGTCTTTGGCCGGGGTTTGGGGGGGGGTTGCCTTTCTGAGGCATCTGAGAGAAAAGAGCTGAGTTGCTGAGGAATCCCTTGACTCCCCTCATCATACGCCATCCTTGGCCGACCCCTGCAGGGAGGGAGGGCAGACACGGTCCGCCGGGTGGTGGTGGTGGTGACAGGTGGAGCGTCATTCGGAAGAAGCGAAATTTCCCTGGAAAATTGGATTCGCGTCTAAGATTAAGAGATTGACCTGCCGGCCAGGCGGCTTCTGCGCATGCTCCTGAAGAAGAGTGATGGCCGTCATCGCTTTCGGATTGCTGTATCTTCCTAAGAGGAGGGGCAAACCTTGTTCCAGCCAATCATGCGGCACAGCGTCTTGAAACGGCTTGATGTACAACCTATTGCAAAGGGGCTTCTGGGAGAATTCTCAGGTACAGCCTTGCAGAAAACTCTCGACCAATCCTAGGACGGAGAGCCTTGATCGACAAAAGAGCTGATCTATTAAAAGACTTCAAAACACGATGTGGAGGTGTGACAGTTATTGTGACGTATGAGCCCTCCCGTCGGGGGGGGAGGAGTCTTGTTCCTCAGCCAATCTCCTTGAGGTTTCGTCCTTGAGTGGCACCGGGACGGCCCAATGGAGGTGCCGCGCGCTCCGCCCTCGCGAGGGATAAACGGGATGAGGGAGGGAACGGGGAGAGGGACGGCCTATTGCGGAGGTTGAGCAGCGAAGAGGCGGCGGCAGAAGCAGAAGCAGGAATCAGAGACGCCATGGCGGAGAGTGACTGGGACACGGTGACGGTGCTGCGCAAGAAGGGGCCCAGCGCGGCTCAAGCCAAATCGAAGCAGGTGAGGGGAGGCAGGAGCGCGCGTGCGCTCTTCAATCCCCGCCCATCTCCCGGTGGGAGGAGTGCCTGCGTAGGGCCCACGTCAATCTCAGGCGGGCACGCCCACCAAGCCCTTATTTGCATAGGCTCCGTTCGCGGGTGGGGGGGGGGCTCGGCCTGCCTGGGTGCTCCCGGCTCGGGGTCAGCCGGGGACGCCCCGGCGGTGTCGCTGCCGGGACGGGATCCGCGCTTCGCCTTTCCCCCGTTCCGGGCCGTCGCGCTCGCAGGGCGCCCCCTGCCGGCCAAGAAAGGCCCCCCTCCGGGCCGGGAGGAGGGGGGCGGTTCGGTTGCCCGGGATGCCCCGAAGGCGTCCGGCGGGGGCGGGCCGGCTCTCCTTCCACGGCCCGGTAACGCTCCCGTTGCTCTTCAGGCTGTGATGGCGGCCCAGCGGAGAGGCGAAGACGTGGAGACCTCCAAAAAGTGTAGGTGTCGCCGGCGGGCGGGCGGGCCCAAGGCGCCCTCTGTATCGCAGCCGCTCCGGCTCCGGCCCGGGAGGGGGGCGGGCAGGCCGGCCGAGGCGAGGCCCCTTCCTCAACCGCCGCCGCCGCCGGCCCTGCTCCTTCCCCCGCAGGGGCCGCAGGGCAGAACAAGCAGCACTCGATCACCAAGAACACGGCCAAGCTGGACCGGGAGACCGAGGAGCTGCACCACGACCGGGTCCCGCTGGAGGTGGGCAAGGTGATCCAGCAGGGCCGGCAGAACAACGGGCTGACCCAGAAGGACCTGGCTACGGTAAGGGGCCTTTTAGCGAGGCTAAAGGGCCGGGCCTGGGGGAAGCGAGTCGTCCCCCCTTCCGCCCCGTGCAGCTGCCTGGCTCTCCCTCTGCAGAAAATCAACGAGAAGCCCCAGGTCATCGCAGACTACGAGGCCGGGAAGGCCATCCCCAACAACCAGGTGCTGGGCAAGATCGAGCGGGCCATCGGTGAGTGCGGGCGGGGTGGAGCTTCTGGCTCCCACAACTGTGCAGAAGCTCCCCCAGGCCTCTCCTGAGGCTGCGACCAAGATCTTCCTCTCCCCCCCTCTCTCCAGGCTGCTGCTGTCTTGGGGGGGGGTGCATGGGGGGCTGCGGTCTTCACAGGCACCTTTCCCCCCCCCCCCCATCTCTCCCTGCTCCTTTTGCTCTTTTCCAGGCCTTAAGCTCCGAGGGCGGGACATCGGGCGGCCCCTCGAAAAGGCCCCCAAGGGGAAGTGATGACAAAGCCTCGAAATCAGTCTGCCCCGACTGATCTCGCCTGGACGGGCGCTGCTGCTCCTCCTCTGGCGTGGCCAGGGTTGGCTCCCTCTCTCTGCCAGGCTGACACACCTCCACGATCACAACCCTCTCGGGAATCAGCGAACCTCTCAACCGCCGACATTCCTGCCTTCCTTTTTCAAAGTATCCAAATCCTAATAAAAGCATCTGAATCTGCCAGGGGCAAGAAAGACACATGGTCGTCATCGTCTTTGGGGGCCTTTGGGAAGGGGAGGGGGTTGCAGGGGTGGGATTCTACCAGTTCGCACCTATTCGCGTAGAACCGGTTAACATTCTAAGCAGTTTGGAGAACAGGTTTTTAGAAGAAATTACTGGGCTAATCCTGTAAGGAAGGCAGGAAGGAAACATTCTGGTGTTGCTTAGACACTCCCTCTCCATTAACCCTTATTACATTCTTGGCAGGACTAGACTTCCTGTCTTGGGAACTTCTCTGGAGTTTTTTTCTCCTCCTTTGCTGGTACTTTGCTTGTGTGGAGTGACCACTCAAAGTTACAATGGCACGGAAAAAAGTGACTTATGACCATTTTTCACACTTATGACTGTTGCAGCATCCCCACAGTCATGAGAGGCCAGGCGAGGAGATGCATGCCTTGATGTGAGTGATATTGAGTGGCCATACCCAGCCAATAACATGACCACCAAGCCATGCCCACCACCTAAGCCACGCTCAAAGAACCAGTTGTTAAAAAATGTGAATCCTACCCCTGGGGGGAGTGTGGCTGATGGGGGGTGCAAGAAGCAAGGCCAGCTGCCCTGGCTTGGTTTCAATGGGAAAGGGGGGACCATGATGGTGGAATGTACTCTGGGCAGCCATGGTGGCTTCAGGGCCTGCTTTCATCCAGGTTTCCAACCAGCTGCGCCTGGGCTGCATTTGGAGATGTTTTCTCCCCACTGACAGTTTTGAGGGAAACAGTCCGGACCTCTTTTCAGTAAAGAGCTGCCCTAGGGGCTCACACACACGTACATTCCTGTCACTTGCCCACCAGCCTCTTCCAACAGAGGAGAGTCTCGGGGGCAAGTACCTCATTTGGGGGTGCCAATCGAGGCTTTCAGGGAAGTGCCCCCCCCACCAAACAAGGACCATCCGAGCACGGAGTCCTTGGACAGGTTCACACAGGAGATGAAGCCAGTGTTTGTGGGTTTGGGCAGGTTTATTTTCATTCCCTTGCGTTGAAATGCTTTTCGAGCCGCCGTAAATGGGATCTTCCAACCTGGGTGAATGGCAGCCTGTCTCTGGTCAAGAAAAGAGACGGATTCAACCAAAGATGCCCCCCCCCTTTATTGGAGTCGCTCCCGTTGCCTCTCCAGTGGAACAGAGGCCGATGCAAGGCCGAACGGGGAAGGCAGGGGCTGACCTAAGACGTTGCTGGGTCAAGAGCCATCTGGGGTAGGATGATCCTGTCCTGGAAGCCAAGGGAAGAGACACAGGCTGGCCTTAGCCAAGAAACTGCGGGGGGAAGCCGCTCGGGCTGCCTGGAGACGGTCTGCTTGGAGGGTGAAAAGGAAGCTCTCACCCAGCCACCGGTCCCAGTTAAAGGCAGCCTGGCTGGGCAGCAGAGGGCCACGCAACACGCCCCCCCCTCCAGCACTTACGTCTCGAAAGGCTATGTCGAACCCCTGCCCGTTGGCCTCCTCTTCCACCATCCTTTCCCGACTCCCTCTCCTCTTCCACAGGCAACAGGTGGCCACGATCAACAGCAGCAAGACGGTGTTCACCACGCCAGCCACCACGCCGATGGTCAACACCGAGAGAGGGCTGCCGCTCTCTGCCAAGGCAAAAAGGAATGGCGGGAGCCTCTTCCGACCAGCTCAGGGGGCCCCCCACAGGGATGGGCCTTGGCTGCCGCGCTGGGCCTGACCTTCCACTTGGCCTGCCTGGGGAGAGGCACAGTCCGGCCCAGGTGCGTAGCGTAGATCGTCCAGCGCAATCACCCCTGAGCTCGCCCAGGCTCCGTTGCTGACCTCCAGGACGATCTGAAGGGGAGAGAGCTACGCTCAGAAGGACAGGATGGGAGACCGAGGCAGAGAAGAGGCAGGGTGGGGTTCATCAAGGGAACAGAGAGAAAGAGACCCATCATTCAAAGACTGCATGCAACGTCGGGATGTGGGCGGCAGCGAAGGCCCTTAATCCGGAAGAGGCAGCGCGAGGGGTGCGGCAAGGACAGGCAGGCTCAAAGCCCGGGTGCCAAGGCCTGGCGTTGCCGGCTGCCTTTTCTTTCAGGGCCAGGGAGGGAAGCTGAAGTCAGAACACCTGGAACTCCACAGGGCTGGTCACCAGGAGCGTTCGCTTCGTCCAAGCCCGCCTCTGATGGCCTGTGGCGGTCCAGATCACCCTTTCTCCCTGCGCCCCGGTCAGCCTCACTCTGAGCTCTGCAGGAGCTGGCAATGCAGAGGGGAGGGGAGGGAGGTCAGCACGGAGACCCAGGCGCAGCTCTCTCTGCCCTCTGCCTCAGGGAGCCAGGCTCCTCCTCCCTCCCCCACCATCAAATTTAATAGTCCTCGTTGGAAGGGACCTTATAGGTCATCTAATCCAACCCCCCGGGGGCCCAAGTGGGAGACCCTACAGTATTTCTGACAAATGGCAGTCCAATCTCTTCTCTCAGTGGCTTCTCTCCTCCAAGCAGGAACCTGCCCAAGAAGCTTTAACAATGCCACTTCTGCAGCAGATTGCCACGTCTCCGGATTGGGGGGGATATGGGGATATGGAGAGGGGAATCTCCTTGTCTGACTTACAGCTGCTTTGGCCAAGGAAGTCCATGTGGTAGTGGAACTGCAGGCAGGAGCCCGTGGTGGGTGCCAGGGGCTCGCTCACCAGGCGCGCGGTGCTCTTTCCCAAGCTCAGCACCGCCAGGTCAACGTAGGCGTAGTGACCTAACGAAGAAAAAAGAAAACGCTGAAGAGCAGGAAGTAAATAGGGCCCCTCCTGCAGAGTTGATCCCAAGAGAACGGGGTCCTTGGCTGTGGCCCCTGCGCAACGAGGATGGAGGGCTCCCTCCCAGAACGTGCATGGACTCCTCCCCTGATCTGTCAGCTACTTCGGGCTTTTGTAGGGGAATTTAAGCCCCTAAACAGACCAAGTCCAGGATGTCGGTTTCCTTGTGTATCGGGATGATTCAATAACTCCCCGAATGAAGGAGGACTATCGGAGCCCAAGACGGAGGCGAGCCTCATCAATTCCCATTCAACTGGAGCCGCCAACTCCTCCTCCTCCTCCTCCTCCTCACAGCCCCAATTTGCTGGTCCAGCGAATGTTTGGGCCAAATCCGTGGGGGAAGCCGCACTCCTGGCAGCCCGAGCTCCTCTCGCGCAACCCCCCAGGGACCGAGCGCTAACCTGCATTGGTGCCGAGGGTGTGGTCTTCCTTGGGAGATGGGGAGCGCAAGGTGGTGGCTGCTTCCTTCCAGTCCCAGCTGTACCAGTCTCCGTGAGGCTTGC